CCAAGAAGCGGCGGATGGACTCTGAAGCTGCTCGGCCTGCTGGTGAACCTGACCCTCCTGGCGACGAACAGCGAGGCGCTGGGCGCGACGCAGCAGGACATGACAGCGACGCGGCTCCTGGGACGCCCAGCCAGCCTGAGGCCGCCCCAGCCCCCAGACAGCCCCAGCTGTCGGCAGAGCGGCTCGCAGAGCTCAAGAAGGCCGCGAGGGAGGTGCGCGGTCGCAAGCCAGGAGGCGACGCCAAGGAGAGCGCGCCCACAGCGTCTCCCTAGCAGCGGCGGGCGCCGTGGCGGTCGAAGCGCCTTGCAGCCGTTCACGTTCGACTCCGCCAACGGCTCAGGCTGGGGACCCCTCACGACCATATGGGGCAGGCCCCAGGAGAGGGCTCAGGAGCTGGCCAGGGAGGCCCATGCGGGTCAGTGCTGGTTGGCCCAGGAGACCCACCTACACGAGGAGGAGGCAACCCGCGAGGAGCAGTGGCTGCGCAGGCAGGGCCTGCGGGATGCCCTCACGCCTGGCACCAGCCACCCAGGCAGCCTGGACACGCAGCAGAGGAGGGCCGCCTCGGGCGGCACAGGAGGTGAGGTCTGGGCGGCGCGAGGCGCCGCTCAGCCCTTGCGAGGCGCCGCCGCTGGGACCAGATCCAAGCGCGTCCACCCTGGGCGGCGCACCTGCCTCCACTTCGAGGGGCCCAAGCGAGGAGGAGGGCTGGCGGCCAGCGTCTACCTCGACATCGACCGCCAGAGGCCTACGTCATGGGAGGTGCCGCGCACGCTGGGGCACGCGCTGAGAGCCTCGGGCAGGTCCTTCGTGATCGGGGGGGACGTCAACGTGGAGCCCGCCCTCTCCGCGGACGCGGCGCGTTTCTGGTTGGAGGCGGTGAGAGGCCAGGTCGTATGCAACGAAGAGGGCCTCGGCACCTGCCACGTCGTGGCCGACGCGCCGCCGTCCGAGCTCGACTACTTCATCGTGGCCAGCATGTTCGGCGACTGCCCCCTGCGCCACACTGGCTCGGAAGCGCAGGTGGGCATCATGCTAGGGAAGGCGGCGCGCGCCGTCATCAGGGGCCTGGAGCGGGGCATGGGCGCGGTGGTCTCCAGGGACAAGAGCGAGATCCTGGGGACCACCGAGAGGTTGCACCGCCTCAGCGAATACCACATGGACGAGGGCTCCTTCGCGCATGCCAAGGAGACCAGGAACTTGGGAGTGCGCTGCGCCATGGGCGCCAGAGCTGGGGAGGTGGCTGCTGGCCGACACCAAGCCGCCGCGGCCCAGCTCGGCCGTGCCCACCAGAGGCGACGGGCAAGGAGGGAAGCGGCAGTCAAGCTCGTCAATGCTGGACTTAAGCCCGCTACATCATACGACATCTCTTGTATAGCCTGGTCGCCATCGGCGCTGGCGAGATGAAGGTCCAAGCTCGCAGCCATCGCCTTCGGCACGGGGCCTGGCAGGAGCATCTGCCTCAGCAACCTGCTGGCCGCGAAGCCGTGGGACGACCCGCTCTTCGACCACATCGCCAGGCCCATGGAGGCGTGGGCGAGGGCGCTGCAGCAGGTCAAGGAGCAGGACAGGCGCGCCCTCGGCTCGGCATTTGCGGCGGCGCGCGAGCGCCTCACCGCCAGCGGGCCAGAGGGCCTGGCGGGAAGGGGCCCAGCCTCCGCAGCGGCCCTTGCCGCGGCGCGCCTCGGCTGGAGAGCTGACCACATCAGGCGCTGGACGGACGACCTTGGGAGGATCCTAGACCTGCGCGAGACCGACAGGCAGGCACACGTTCCAACGCGAAGTACAGGCTGCCTTCATCAGGAAGCACTGGAAGGACGTGGCGAGCCACGACCCGCTACGGGGCCACCTGGAGGGCGGCGCGGCCATCAACGGCCTGAGGAGGCGGTTGGCGAAGCAGCTCGCTGACCGCGCCCTTGCTTCGCGGTGGTCCTCGGCCAGGCAATGGGAAGCAGACGACCTCAACATCAGCTACTTCTACGACACAGGCGGCCCGATGGACTCGGACGCGGAGCACGCCATCTGGTCGCGGTGCCTGGTCAAGGAGTTGCTGGCGGCAGTGGAGGCCCTGGCCCACTGTCTCCCGCCCGTGCACCTCTTCAGCGACTCGCAGCTGCCCGGAGACGGCTGGGAGGCAGGCGAAGATTGGTGCCTATGCTGGTCAAGACCGTACAGAGGCCTGTGGACCGCCTTCTGGAAGCGGGTCCACGACATAGCCAGGGACGCCATTCATAACACAAAGGTGAAGGGGCACGCCACGTTGCATGACGTCCTGGTCGGGTCCTCCACGGAGTGGAAGCGGCGGGGCAACAAGCTCGCCGACTTGAAGGCCAAGCAGGGCGCCAGCTTCCATCCCACCTTCCCCGCGCTGGTCGAGGTTGCGAGCATTGCCGACGAATGGGGTGAGAGCCTGGGTAGGATGCTCGGCCAGGCGCCGCAGGAGGGCAGCAGCTGGCTCACGGCGGGCGGCGGCTACGCTGCGCCTGGCCTCCAGATAATTAGATGTGCTGCTCCTGGCTGCCGCATGCGCTCAATCGCACGATGCGGCCGCTGCTCGGCCCGCGCGTGCGGGAGGCACGGCTCGTCGGCTCTCGTCGGGGCAAGACGCATCAGGTGCTGCCTCGGATGCGCGGCGGGTAGCCGTCCTCTCCCCGCTTTTTCCCACCCGCCCCCGCCGCCACCGCCCCCGCCCGCCTCGGGATCCGAGGGCTCAGGCGCAGGCGCGGCCGCGCTCCTCGGCATCATAGCAGGAGCCGCCGCAGCGAGCGGGGGGGAGGCCAGCGGAGGGGGGGACGAGGAGCAGCAGCAGCAGCAGCAGCAGCAGGAGCAGCAGTCTCCAGCGCAAGTTAGTTCGATCGAGAACCCTTCCAGCGAAGGGGCTCCTCCACCAGGGGGGCCACAGGGGGCGAGGACGGGAGACCTAGCCTTTTGCGTGCGGTGCGGCGGGTACTGCCGCAGCCGTCGGGTCATGGCACTCGGCGACGAGTGCCCATCTCGGCCGCTCTCAAGCAGGCAGGCCGAAGGGCTCCGCAGAATGGAGCGAGGCCTCCACCCCACCAAAGGGGGGGTAGAGGCCGTCCTCGGCGCCCCGTCCCCCCTCCCGCCGCGAGAGAGGTCGCGCTCGAGGGAGCGTGCGGGGAGCTGGGGATAATGTAGCAGCAGCAGGGGGAGTGTGCACGTCGGCAGCGGCCCCCTTGGGAGAGCGGGATCATCATCATCATCATCATCATCATCATCATCATCATCATCATCATCATCATCATCATCATCATCATCATCATCACCACCACCATCATCATCATCATCATCATCATCATCATCATCATCATCATCATCATCATCATCATCATCATCATCATCATCATCATCATCCATCGCAATCATCAGAATCAGCATCATCAGCATCAGCATCATCATCAGCATCAGCATTATCATGTTCGTCGTCATCATCAGCAGCAGCATCATCAGCATGACAATCCTCATCATCAGTATCATCATCATCCTCATCACCATCATCATAACAATCGTAAAGATGATCATCATCATCATCATCATCACCATCATCATCATGATCATCATCAGCAGCATCAGCATCATCGTCATACTCATAGTCATGCTCGTCAGCATCGGCATCAGCATCATCATCATCATCATTAACATCATCATTCTCATCATCGTAATCAGCGTCATCAGAATCATCATCATCGTCGTCATCAGAAGCATCAGCATAATCAGCATCATCAGACTCATCATCATCATCAGCATTATCATCCGCATCCTCGTTCGTATTCTCTTCCTCAACCTTATCCTCAGCCACATCCTCGTCCTCCTCGTCCTCGTTCTCGTCCTCCTCCTCCTCATGCTCCTCCTACTCACCCAGGCATCCTCGCGTCTTGACTTCGAAGGTTCGATGACGGAGGTTCGAGGATCGACGTTCGGCGATCGAGGTTCGAGGACCGAGAATGGAGCTTCCAGCGCGGAGCTCAGAGGAGCGAGGCCCTCCACCCCAGATATCCTTGCGTCGTGAACTCCTGCTTCGAGAGGTCGAGGTTCCAGGACGGAGGATCTAGGTTGTCGGGCACTGTTGGGCTGGGCGTCCCGGGGAGTTCTCGTGGCCACGGCTGGGCACCCCTCGAAATCCTGGCCAGAACGCACCCCTGGTCAGGTCCAGGGGTCCTTGCCTGGGCTCCCTCGCGTTGTCCGATGGTGTACACGGTCGGCTCGCGAGGGTCCTCACCGGTCCGTGGGGCCCTCACAAGACAAGCCAGGGTGAGAAGCCTGTCCCGAGAAAGGGATCTGAGCTTGCCAGTCCACGTTCCCAGAGTTCCACCGACGGAGAGACCCCACACGAGAATATGCTCATCCTGCCTGAGGATATCCTCCTGCCCCCTCCCTCCTCGTGCCTTGTCCTCCTGCATCCGTCTCTTTCTGCCATCTCCTCCTTCTCCTCCTCCTCCTCCTCCTCCTCCCCATCCTCCCCATGCCTCCTCCTGCCTTCTGCCTCCTGCCTCCTGCCTCCTGCCTCCTGGTGCCTCCTGCCTCCTGCCGCTGCTGCTGCTGCTGCTCCTCATCCTCCTCCTCCTCCTCCTCCTCCTCCTCCTCCTCCTCCTCCTCCTGCTGCTGTTGCTGCTGCTGCTCCTGCTGCTGCTCCTGCTCCTCCTCCTCCTCAGCATTCTCCTCCTCCTCCTCCTCCTCCTCCTCCTCCTCCTCCGCCTCCTCCGCCTCCTCCGCCTACTCCGCCTCCTCCTTCTCCTCGTTCTCACTCGTCCTCCTCATCATCATCATCCTCATCCTCCTCCTCCGCCTCCTCCTCCGCCTCATCCTCCTCCTCCGCCTTTTCCTCCTCCTCCTCCTTGCCAGTCCACGTTCCCAAAATTACACCGACGGAAAGACCCCACATGAGAATATGCTTATTCTGCCTGAGGAGCCTGAGGATATCCTCCTGCCCCCTCCCTCCTCTTGCCTCATCCTCCTGCATCCGTCTCTTTCTGCCATCTCCTCCTCCTCCTCCTCCTCCTCCTCCTCCGCCTCCTTCTCCTCCTCTCTCCTCTCTCCTCCTCCATCATCATCATCATCATATCATCATCATCATCATCATCATCATCATCATCATCATCATCATCATCATCATCATCATCATCATCATCATCATCATCATCATCATCATCATCATCATCATCATCATCATCATCATCATCATCATCATCATCATCATCATCATCATCATCATCCCCATCCTCCCCATGCCTTCTTTTGCCTTCTGCCTCCTGCCTCCTGCCTCCTGCCTCCTGGTGCCTCCTGCCTCCTGCCGCTGCTGCTGCTGCTGCTCCTCCTCATCCTGCTGCTGTTGCTGCTGCTGCTCCTGCTCCTCCTCCTCCTCCTCAGCATTCTCCTCCTCCTCCTCCTTCTCCTCCTCCGCCTCCTCCACCTACTCCGCCTCCTCCTCCTCCTCCTCGTTCTCCATAATCCTCCTCCTCCTCCTCATCCTCCTCCTCCTCCTCCTCATCATCATCATCATCATCATCATCATCATCATCATCATCATCATCATCATCATCATCATCATCATCATCATCATCATCATCATCATCATCCTCATCCTCATCCTCATCCTCATCCTCATCCTCCGCCTCCTCCTGCTCCGCCTCATCCTCCTCCTCCGCCTCTTCCTCCTCCTCTATTAATATTAGTATGCTTCGCTGTGTCTTATTAGTTCAATACATATCAAAATTATTATTCTTATTATGGAAATCCATCTAAGTTGTGTCATCCAAGGTATCATTAATATCAGTCGTAGCAGTAGTTGTGGTTAGTCGTATGAGTAGTATTGTTTTTGGTTGTTAGTAGTGGTATGGTTAGTATTAGTGCGCGTACTACTCGTAACCGTACTAGTTTTATGTATAGTAGTAGTCATACCCTTGTTATTCGTAGTACCAGTGTTGCTAGTCTTAGTCGTCCTCTTATTCTTACTAGTAAGAGTCGTAAAGGCGTATCATCGTCAGTGTAGTAGTACGGTTCGTGTTCTTGGTGTTAGGTCGTATGGTTATTGTTATCATGCGTACTCGAAGTGTGCGTAAAAGTATTAGGAGTCGTTATTAGATGAAGTCAACTTCCTAATACAATTAGTAGTAGTGTTAGTAGTGGTAGTGGTCTTGTTAGCCGTATTCGTGGCATCCGTGCCATTAGCTGTCTTGATATTGATATTGGTAGTATGACTGCGAGTGTTCGTAGTAGTCTGTCTTGTTCTGTTGATACCAAATACATACATTAACATGATCGTTGTAGTGTTCGCATTCATTGTCGTTTTCGTCTTGGCATGCTTCGTGGGAATAGTATTTCGATATTCGTGCTCGTCACATTCGTATTCGTATTATTTGTATAATTAATCTTCCGCCACCTCATCCTCATCATCGTCATCATCCGCATCAGTATCATCAGCATCAACATCAGCATCTTCAGAATCATCAGTATCAGCATCAGCATCCTCATCCTCATCATCATCATCCTCTATGTCTTTCATGTCCTCATCCTCCTCCTCGTCCTCGTCCTCGTCGTCATTCTCCTCCTCCTCCTTCTCCTCCTCCTTCTCGTCCTCCTACTCCTGCCTCCTCCTTCACCTCCTCCTCATCCTCTCCTCCGCCTCCTCCTCCTCCTCCGCCTCCTCCTCCTCCTCCGCCTCCTCCTCCTCCTCCGCCTCCTCCTCCTCCTCCTCCTCCTCCTCATTGGGCATCCTGCGCATCCTGCCTCCTTTGGGGGCCTCCTGGGGGCTCCTGAAGCATATGGGGCGTCCTGCAGCATGCTTGGGCCTCCCGGGGCCTCCTGGGACACTCTTCCTCCTCCTAATCATCCGTCTTCCTCCTCCTCCTCCTGCCTCCTCTTCCTCCCCCTCCTCTTCCTCCTCCTCCTCCTCCTCATCATCATCATCATCATCAGCATCATCATCATCATCTTCATTATCATAATCAGCATCATCATCATCATCATCACCACCACCACCATCATCATCATCATCATCATCATCATCATCATCATCATCATCATTATTATCATCATCATCATCATCATCATCATCGTCATCATGATCCGCCTCCTCCTCCTCCGTTTCCTCCTCCTCCTTCTCCTCCTCCTTCTGCTCCTCCTCCCCCTCCTGATCCTCCTCCTCCTGCTCCTCCTCCTCCTCATCATCATCCTCCTCCTCCTCCGCCTCCTCCTCCTCCTCCACCGCCGCCTCCGCCACCGCCGCCACCGCCTCATCCTCCTCCTCCTCATCTTCCGCCCTACTCCGCCCTCATCCGCCCTCATCCGCCCTCCTCCGCCCTCTTCCGCCCTCCTCCGCCTTCATCCTCCTCCTCCTCCTCCTCCTCCTCCTCCTCCTCCTCCCCCTCCTCCTGCTTCTCCTCCTCCTCCATTCCTTCTCCTTTTAGATGACTTCTCCCTGTCGCACCCCGAGGCCAGTTTTTAGGGCGGGCCGGGCGTTTCTCCTGAGACTTCCTTGCCATT